CTTGTACTGCAATGCTCAGGGGGGCCTTGCACACTCAAAACTCCATGCACATTCCTAATGTCCCTTCCATGGGACTATGGGCACTTGGCTTCCTGGGTGTACACTGTCCGTCACACCTGTGATCTCATGTAGTCAAAAGACACATGTCTACACACAAGGCTCACACACACACACACACACACACACACACATACACCCCTCAACATTCACTCCGCTTTGCAAACTTGCTGTTTTATCTGTTCATGGCCCTCACTAGTCACATCACCTTGGACAATAGGATAGCTGTGCATTCTTCCTGTGTACCGATGGGGTCTTGCCTGTTCACGCCCCTTCCCCTCTCCCACCCCCGATGGCCTTGCATGACCACACGATCCCAGTGATCCCACCTCTCCTTGCATGACCATGCTATCCCACCTTTCCTTGCATGACCACTCGATCCCACCTCTCCTTGCATGACCACATGATCTCAGTGATCCCACCTCTCCTTGCATGACCACTCGATCCCAGTGATCCCACCTCTCCTTGCATGACCACGTGATCCCACCTCTCCTCGCAGCTCCGACCCAGGACTGTACCCACAGACTTAAGTTATCCCGACTGTGCTGTTCTCACAGGTCCTCAGACAGGCTGTGTGCACACTGCCCTGCACCAGCCCTCCCCATCCGCCACAGCACTACACAGAGCTGCCATCTGCCCGTGTAACCCAAAATCTGGGCACTCATTCAAGTAGAGCTCACAGTCTATCCTGCTCGGTTAACTACACTGTAACACACCGATTCACGCACCTCACACTCAGTTGTACACCTGTGACCTTGGCATGTTCCCACAGTGGAAGTGTTTATACCATTCCACGAGTTCCTTCTGGTGTGTTCGCTCCTGAACGGGCACTCTCCTTCAACGCCACCCAGTACCGAGATTAATTGATCAATCACAGAGCTTCACACTTATTCTCTGACGTACACCGCCCACCAGTGTTGATAGCCACACCTCCCCCTCTGGCTTGCCCAAGTATGTGTTCTGGCATACTTGTATTCTCAGGTTCACACAGCAGCATGCGCTCTGTCCCTCTGATGGCCCACCTCTGTCATGGTGCCCTACTGCCTTGCCCACATCTGGCCCTGCCTGTAGCCTACTGAGGCCACTCTCCAGGTATACACAACAGCATACACTTCTTCCTCCCATGGTCAAACTGTCCTCTGGGCCCCACCCTGCCTTGCCCACGATCCAGGTCACAGCATGCTAGGGTCCCTACCTGTATCTTACTGCGACCACCCTCCAGGTAGGCACAGCAGCATGCACTACCTTGTCCCTCCAATGGTCTCTTCTCTCTCTGGGCCCCAGCCTGTCTTGTCCATATGGGGGAGGGGTTAGTCACCCAGTCCCTGCCTAACTGACACAGTGCTCTTCACCCCGCAGGGACCTACCAAGGCCAGTTCACCAACGGCATGCGGCACGGCTACGGCGTGCGCCAAAGTGTGCCCTACGGGATGGCGGTGGTGGTGCGCTCCCCGCTGCGCACGTCGCTGTCCTCGCTGCGCAGCGAGCACAGCAATGGCACGGTGGCTCCGGACTCGCCGGCGGCGGACGGGCCCGCGCTGCCCTCGCCCCCGGTGCCGCGCGGTGGCTTCGCGCTCAGCCTGCTAGCCACCGCCGAGGCTGCGCGTCCCCCGGGGCTGTTCACACGTGGCGCGCTCCTGGGTCGGCTGCGACGCTCCGAGTCGCGCACATCACTGGGTAGCCAGCGCAGCCGCTTGAGCTTCCTCAAGAGCGAGCTGAGCTCGGGCGCCAGCGACGCCGCGTCCACCGGCAGCTTGGCCGAGGGTGCCGAGGGCCCCGACGATGCGGCCGCGCCCTTCGACGCCGACATCGATGCCACCACCACCGAGACCTACATGGGCGAGTGGAAGAACGACAGGCGCTCAGGCTTTGGCGTGAGCGAGCGCTCCAGCGGCTTGCGGTACGAGGGTGAGTGGCTGGACAACCTGCGCCACGGCTACGGCCGCACCACGCTGCCCGATGGCCACCGTGAGGAGGGCAAGTACCGCCACAACGTGCTGGTCAAGGGCACCAAGCGCCGCGTGCTGCCGCTCAAGAGCAACAAGGTCCGCCAGAAAGTGGAGCATGGCGTCGAGGGCGCACAGCGTGCAGCAGCCATCGCTCGCCAGAAGGCTGAGATCGCTGCCTCCAGGTAAGGGCCTGGTGGGAACCTGCAGCCTAGGGGGCCCAGGCCAAACCTGGTCATGCATTTCTTTACTGTGCCAGTCACCCATGCATCTAGTTATCTTCAGATCGTGCCTCAGCCATCCACTTAGCGGCTACCCCCCACACAGACCCAACCCTTTGCATATCTTATTCTCACATAACCCATCTAATAGCCATGTGTCTGCTCAGCAGTCATCCACTTATCCATTCCACCTTAATGCATACCCACCTACACCGCCATGCACGCATCCACCCATCCATTTATTCACCCGTCTATCCACCCATTCACCAAACCTAGCAGTAGCCCACCCAAACATTCCTCTAATCCCTTCACAACTTCTCTAACACTCAGGGCCTCTATCCACCTAACCCTTTTATCCATCCATCAACTTCCGGTCACTCAGTCTCTTTAGTATCTACCCGACCAACCATCCATCCTCACAACCACATCCACCTTCATCCACACAGCCAACTTCCCATCCCTTTTCACTTTCCTGGCTGCCTAATCATCTCCTCAACCACTGACTCAACTACTCACACATCTATTTGACCACTTATTGATCCCCCATTCACCAATCATCTCTATTCTCTCAACTACTTCACCCATTGTAAAAACCAGTAATAAATCCATCCATTCACCCACCACATTGATTACAGCTACTTCCATTTATCTGGCCACCCAGCCACACTTTTACTCATGCAAATGTCTACTCGCACTCACTCAATGACCCCTCCACGCATCCACCCATCTAGCCACCTCCACAGCTAACCATACTTCCACCCAAACATTGGCCACACTTCCATTTACTCAACCCTGTTCACCTATCTGGCCTGCCTCCTATGCATCCGCTCACCCTTTTACCGGCTCACCACCCACCCTATCATCTACATTCTATCCCCGATGTCTTCTCATCCTAAAGCAGACGGAGTTCTAACGTTGTCTTCCAGTGTGTGTTAAACAATATCGACCCTTCCCATGCCTTTAGCCACCTTACAAGGTTTCTTGTGCTATTTTAGACGAGCTAAAAGAGGCTCACAGTAGCAAGGCGCTTTGTCTAGTCACTAGCTCAGAAGGTTAGTGTTTCCCCCACATGGTGTCACCGTTTCTTAGTTGTCCATCTCTGGCCAGTTGTGTTTTCTTTTCAAAGCCCAGGTGTCTCATCTGTACAAACAGGGCTGTTCTGAGAGTTGAGAAAGCCAGTGCAAGCCGAGTGCTCCTGGTGAGTCCCCTAGAAGCAGACTCTCAGATGGAGATCCGAGAGCAGGAGGATGCTTATGGGGAGCACTCTTAGGATTGATGCTCTGGAGAAGGGAAGAAGCAGGATGGGGCTGCAGGAAAGGCTGAGCAGTAGTGCAGTCTCCACAAAGGCTTCCATCAATCACATGGGGGGCCTCTGCAGAGGGATGTTATCCCTATTTGGGATGAGGGAGTTAGACCAAACCCTCTCTGAAGAATGCAGACTCCTCCCCAGAAAGGAGCATGGCCTGGGGGCTGGACAGCTCCCTTCAGGCCAGGTCAATCCCTCGAGAGTGCTGGTAGTCTGTGGTTCTCCAAGTGGCTAGGGTGGGAGAAGGAAGTCCTTGGGTTCTGAGGCAGAATCTATAGTACCAACTATAGTGCTGAACACTAAGTACAGCCACAATAATGCCAACAGTCACTGGCATTCAACAGATTTATTTGACAGATGTGAAACTGAGTTCAAAGAATACAATATGCCTATATTCCTTACTTTTTTATGTCATTATCTGACAGAAACAGAGAAGACTTGTTTTTTTTTTTTCACCTAGTTTTGAGGCTTTCCGTCTGCTGTTGGAAGGGAAGGCATCGGCTTTTCGTGCATGGACCCAGAAGCAGAGAGTGAGACAGGAAGTGCACCTAGTGACCTTTTACCGGCTAGGCCTCACTCTAGTGCCACCAGCCGGGGACCAGGCATTTAAAGAGCATGGGGGCTGGAGAGACGGCTTGGCCTGTTAAAGTGTTCACTGCACTTGCAGAAGGCCTGGCGTTGGTTCCCAGCTCTCACAACTCTGGTTCCAGGGCATCTGACTCGGCAGGCTCATGTATGAATGTGGTGTACATATCTACTCAGATGCATGTACAGACACATAGGACAGTAAATAAATAAATAAATCTCTAAAACACGAGCTCCTGGGGATATTTCCATTTCAAACCATAACAGTGCCAACACTATGGAGAAAGCAAGCAGGAGAAGTCTTCAGTCTGAGTCTTCTGATTCCAAAGCTCTAACCTGCACAGCCTCAAACTTCAAATTGTGAGAGTAACAGTTAGTACTGCAAACTAGGAAAGAAATTAAGGGCAGTTTTCTTAAGACTTCTTGGTTAAGGGCTGCTAAGGTTAGAATGTCTCTCTGGTCTGAGCTCGTGGGGAAATGTAATCGCTGTACTAACAGTCTCAAGGGGTGGGAGTTTTGAGACGTGATTGAGTCACGAGGGTTCTGCTCTCATGGGTGGGACTAATGCTGCTAGAAAAGGGTGAGTTTGGCTCCCTGGTCCCCACACTGTGTGTTGCATGTACACAAACATGTGTACAGAGGGCATGTGGAAGCCAGAGATCAACCTTGGGTGTCATTTCCCAGGAGCTATCCATCCACCTTGCTATTTATTTATTTTTGTTGGTTTTTCAAGACAGGATTTCTCTGTGCAACAGTCTTGACTGTCCTGGAACTCACTTTGTAGACCAGGCTGGCCTCGAACTCACTGAGATCTGCCTGCCTCTACCTCACAAGTGCTGGGATTAAAGTCATGCACTTTGCCTTTTAAAACAGGATTTCCCACTAGGCCCCAGAGCTTTCTGGCTGCCTAGAGAACTCCAGGGGTCCTCCTGATTTTGCCTCCCTAGTGTTAGGATCATAAACATGAACCATCATGCCTGGCTTTTTATGGAGTTCACACTCAGACCCTCATGCTTATGTGACAAGCACTTTACGGACTGAGCGAGCTCTCCGCCCCTCATGTGCCTCCGACATCACATAATCCAGCCTTTATGTCCTTCAAAGGCTAGAGTGTGCAAGCTGCCATTATGGAAGAGAATGGCCTTATCTAAGACTGAACTTGCTTCGACTGGTCAGTCTTCAGATGGTGAGCAATAACTTCCTGTGGCTACAAAGTGTGCAATCTGAGGTATTCTGTTATAGCAGCACCAATGGACTGAGGTAGACCAGGCCTATGAGCAGGGGACTCTATTATTGTCCAGCCACAATAATTTTATGAAGTAAAGGGCACACTTTTGGAAAAACCAAACTTTTACTTTATTTTAAGTTTCTAGAAAAGTTGTGAAGAGGGACTGAAGAGGTGGATCAGTGGTTGGAAGTGAATACTCTGGTTCTTGCTAAGGACCAGAGTTCAGTTCCCAGCACCCATGTCTGGTTCCCAGCACCCAAATCAGGCAGTACACAACTTCCAGTAACTCCAGCCCCAGGGAATCTCATGTCTTCTCTTTGAGTCAGCAGACATACACACCCCTCCCACATACACATAATTAAAAATAAGTCTTAAAAAATGAAAGTTGTGAGGAGATACAAAGAGCTCCCATATCTTTCCACCAAGTCTCTAATGCTGATTTCTTAGATGGCCACAATGCATATATCACATAAGAGGTGCAGAGTTAGCTCAGCCAGGTAAGTGCTGACCTGGGAAGCATAAGGACATGAGTTCAAGCCTAACTGGGAAGCATAACAAAACAAAAAAAACAAAACAAACCACAAACAAACAAACCAGATAAGATGGCTTGCACTCTCACTGTTGGGGAGCTGCAGACAAGTGCATTCTGGGGGCTTGCTGGCCAGCCCGGCAGCTGGTGGCTGAAGAAACATCTGATGTCTGCTGACTTCCACACATGTGCACAAATGAGTACATGTGTCAGCAGACATGTGTGTACCTGCTTGAACTATTATTATTATTTTGGTTTTTTGAGACAGGGTTTCTCTGTGTAGTTTTGGTGCCTGTCCCGGATCTTGCTCTGTAGACCAGGCTGGCCTCAAACTCACAGAGATCCGCCTGACTCTGCCTCCCAAGTGCTGGGATTAAAGGCGTGCGCCACCACTGCCCGGCCTCGTTATTATTTTTTAATATAATTTCTTTATTGATTCTTTGAGAATTTCACAGCATGCACTCCAATTCCTATCATTTCTCAGTCCCTCCAATGGTTGTGACAAGTGGGAGCTGGGGCTGTTTTGGGTCATCCGTGGGCAGAATACAAACAGGTTCAGAAGCCCTTGAGACGATATGCTGCCTCTTGTGCCAGCTGTGTGACCTTGCCCAAGTTGCTCCCCCACCCTGACTGTGGGATCCTCGTCCCTCATAGGGCAGAGAGGAGGGTAGGAGGAAATGAGCTACTGATTGGCATGGAGCAGCCAGCAGTGGAGAGCACTGTCAGTCCACACGTTCGGTTTAAAAGACAAAGCAATGGACGCTGGGTGAGGCGTGCTTTCCCTAAACCCTCCCCGTGGGGCACAGAGACACCCTGTCGGCTCTCTTACTTTCCCTGCCCGTGTCCTTGCAAGCACCCGTGCATCTGAATGTGTGGCACTGTCACCAAGGTCCCCAGGCCCTGCAGCTGACTTGTGCTTCTGGAAGGAGAAACTGGTACCTAACCTCTCCTATGTACAGCTCTGCTGGCCATGTACAGGATGCTCTGGGGAGAGCTGGAGGCTTCATGGATCGGCAGTCAAGACCCTGATGGGAGTGGCTGGGCTCCAATTCAAGCCCAGCAGAATTTCCAATTAAGGGAGTCTTTGGGTTAGGAGGAAACACAGGATTGCAGCATCTTCCCTGAAGGCTCCCCCTTCCCTGGGGCTTTGGTGAGTAAGCTGGATGCAGAGGGACAGGAAGCAGCCCCAGCAGCCAGCAGCCTTCTGGGGCTCAGGAGGGCGGGGCTTCTGTCCTCTGTAGCCTCTAGCTCTTAGCTCTGGGCTTGGTTATACTCTCAGCTCAGCATCCATAATCAGGACATCTCTCCCAGGCCAAGGAAGGGAACCCACACATCTCACCCCTTTAAGATGGGCAATGGACAGAAGAAGATTCTATACTCTTGCTGTTCAGTGTGCTATCCTCCTGTCATGTGGGCTGGGGGCTATGAGATGTATTTAGTCCCAACTGACAAGTGGGAAATGTACACTGGATTCTAGAAACTTACTACAAAAAGAAGGCAAAGCTCCTAAATTAAATATATATATATTATATATTTATATATAAATATAAAAGACTAGGGATATAGTTCAGTTGATTAAGTACTCACAGTGCAAACATAAAGAGCTGACTTTGAGCTCCTCTAGCACGCACATAAAATACACAGACACACAGACACACATAAAACACACACATAGACACACACATAAAACGCACACACACACATACATACACATACACACATATACACACATACACACAGACATACATATACACACATACACATACAGACACACACATACACATAGACACACACATAAAACACACACACAGACGTACACATACACACACAGACATATACAAAGACACACACACACACACACACACACACACACACACACACACTCCATGTTTGCATGAACTTGTAATCTCAGCATTGGGGACGTGGAGACAGACTGATCCCTGGGGCTCTCCTGACTAGCCAGCCAGCTAAGCCCAAGATCCCAGTGAGAGATCCTTACTTCCAAAACCATGGTGGACAGCTCCTGAGGGACTAAACCTGAGATTGCCCCAGGTGTCCACACACATGTGCACTCATGTATATGATGCACACATTTACATAAACATAATACTGGTTATATGTTGAAATGGTTGTATTTTAGATATACTGTGTTGGGGTAATATACTTTTGATATTAATTTTACCTATTTCCTTTTTCTTTTTAAAAGGTGGTTCCTAGAAAAAAAAAACATAATTATGTATGTGGCTTGTTTACATTACATTTTTATTGGGCGGTATTGCTCTGAGTCTTAAAGCCATTCAGACCCTCAGAGATAACCTAGCCAGTTCTCTGACCACCTGGGGAACCTGAGGCACAGAAAGTATGACATCATGCCCACAGCCACCAAGGGATCCAGGCCTTTGGATTTTGTGGCCAAGAGCTCTTTTGGAAACTCCTTTTAAGGTCCTGGATCTGGGTGATGAAGGAGCTAGGAGGTGCCTTAGCTTCTCTGGCTGTCACATCCACCCACACCCCAATTAATGGCTCCCTCTGGAAGGAGCACAGGCAGCGGCTGAGGGAGGGACCTGGAGACCTGCTGCTGGCTTCCTTCCAGCTCCCTCCTTTCTCACTGAGGGCTGACCTCCACCTTGAAGCTTTTGCAAGGGTCACAGTGGAGTCTGTTTGCACTGCCCAGGGCTCCAGGCACGTCCCTGCTAATTTTCCCTGTGTCCCCAGGTGCAGGCAAGGGACACAGCTGGAGAGTTCTCAGCTGCCCCATGAGGAAGTCCCTAACAGCTCAGAATTTATAGTGGAGTGATATCCCTGAACTGGTTCTGTCTCTTGACCCACTCCCTGCCTCCAGAGCTTCCTCAAAGTGCCCTCTGGGACCTAGCTTCAAGAGTTGTTAGAGACTTAATTTCTGTGTGCAGTGGTTAGGAGTCAGGTCTGTGGCATTAGTCAGCCCGGTTTTGAATCTGGGTTTAGCACAAGGAGACTAAGCATCCCAGTCACACCAGGACTCGAAGCTTCCAGGACCTGCTGCAAGAATGCGCCTCTTTTCGTGATGTCACCTTGGTGGGTCTCCTGTCACAGTGTTTGGTTAGCCTCTGTTCTGAGCAGGGCTTGTGCTGCATCAAGGGGCACACAATGAATTGTCAAGGTCAGCACCCTCCAGGGATTCACAGTGTACAGCTGAAGCCGGGGATTAGCCATGACTGAGAAGGAAGGAGCTGCAAGGGACTGGAGTGGAGGTGGGTGGGGCGTTGGGGAGCAGAGGCAGCAGCAGCTGCTGGTGGGTGGTGAGGGGGAGCACTGCACAGGAGGCCCTGCAGGTGGCCACATCTGGCTGGGAGTTATCAGGTGGAAAGACAAATGTCATTCTAGGAACAGGGAGGGACTTGAGCTGTACCCCAAGGAATAAGAATGCAGGA